GCGCCTGATTCTCTGATCATGGCTGGGGGGCAGGGCAAAGGCGGCTCTTAGCTCCCCGCTGGGTTTCCGATCACTGTCAGTGGCAGGGGGCTTCTTCCTGCTTTCCCTTTAGCCTCCCTGCATTGTGCCTACATATGCAAATTAACCGCCATCTTGTTGGCAGTTAACTGCCAATCTTAGTTGACAGTTAATTTGCATATAGCCCTGATTAGCCAATGAAAAGGGTAGCGTCGTATGCCAATTACCATTTTTCTCTTTTATTAGTGTAGATACTAGTACATGGGTATTCAACATTAAAAAATGGTGTTTGGCCTGCTTCACCCATTCAGCCCATCTGCCTGGATCCTGCATATGTTTGAGTTTGTGGCTCTTTGATCTCAGCCTCTCTCATTTCACAGATGGGGAGACCGTGGCCTAAAAAGTGATACAATTTGTCCAAGGACATAAAGCAAGAAGTTTCCTGGGCTTGAACTAGGCCTTGGTCACCTCACTCAGCAACCATAAATATTTAGTGAGCACCTACTGTGAGCTAGGCACTGCGGGGTGTATCATGGTAAATAAGATGACCACGGGCCTACCTTCACAAAGGTCACTGTTGTGGTAGCACATGATGTCAGTGGTGATACTGTACTCATCTAAGTAGTCCTCATTCTCTCCTTATATGCCAGTGGGTGCTTAGAACTGAGCCCGTCATGTACTGAGCACAAGTGGCCTGCCTTGGCTCACAAGAGGCAACAGTGAGGTTTCTCTCTTCCTAACTTTGTGTGCAGTGACAGTAACTTGGAAAACTTGATATTTGCCACTGTGGGAATATTTACACCACAGTAAGTGGCAAATGCTACAAATCAGAGTTCCTTTCGGGGGGGTGGGGGAGGGGGGCAGTTGCTAACTGTTTACCAGCATATCCCTGGTAAGTGGTCAGTAAACATTTTACCTTTATTATTACTTTACATTCAAGACAGGCTGCATGGATAGCCTGAATAAGCTGCAGCATCAAACTGACATGGGTCCCCATTCACTTCCTCTTAGGCATGAGGCTTCCATCTCTGGGACTCCATTTCCTCCACTGGAAAAACAGAGACTACTACCTACCTCATAGGGGAGTGTGTGTGCATGTGTGTATAAGTTGGAGTTTGAGGTGAAAATAAGTGACCCAATGCCCGATGCACAGAAGGCGTCCATGAACTGTCAGTTCTTGCCTCTCACTTTCTTACCCTGGGACGAAGGTGACAGGAGTGGGGGTAGACCCTTGCCCTGACCATCTACCTCACGCTGGTCCTGAGAGGCAGACCTGCACAAGGCAGAGCTGTCCAGGGCCTGCTCCGGCCTGGTGCCTCCCGCACCAGCAGCTCTATTTCTGCAGCTCTCGCCACACAAGGGGCAAGTGTGCAGCGGAGGCCAGCTTTCTGCCGTATTCCTGGAAATCATCAATCTCTGCCCTTCACCCTCCTCCCTTTTTCTACCACATTTTTTTCCTCCTGGATAATGAGGCCTCCAGAGACCGGTGGAGGTCTGAACCTCGTTATGGCTCTCTTGGTAGGCTGGCATCAATAAAGGCCGGCCGACCAGGGAACGGGTGGGGGCTGGGGCAGGCAGGCAGCGGGTGGGCAAATGGGGACGGGGCTTGCAGGCTTTCAAATCCCTGGATTTATTTCACAGTGAATTATAACTGAACTTTTTAGTGCCCCGGGCTCTCAGAGGGAGGGGTGGGAATTCACCTGGGGTGGGGAGGGTGCGGGGCAAAGGCCTGAGTGGAAGCTGGGCCAAGGCACCATGGTCTAGGCCAGGCAAAGGAGCCCCGCAGACCCAGATGTGAGTGGTCCCCTGGGTCTGCACTGTGTGGGAGTGTGTCCCTGCCTGTGGGTGTGTGGGAGTCAGGGTAGGAGTGAGAGGGAGGCACGAGGGAAGGAGCTGAGATCATGGTCTGGGCTCTGCTCCTGTGTGACCCTGGGTGAGGGATGGCAAAAGGCATGGCCAGTGGAGAAAAGGGCTAGAGGAGTGTGAGCGGAGAGAGACAGGGTTGCCTGGTGGGTGCGTGGGAGAGTCAGAGGCAGGAAGATAGAGGGCGGGGAAGGCAGAGTGAGGTGACAGTCCTGTCAGGAGAGGGAAGACAGGGAAAACAGGCAGGAAAGAGAGAGAAAGTTGGAGATGGCACAGAGAGCAGCAGAAGGGGAAGGGAGGGGAAGAGAATGCTGGGGGGCACGGGGCAGCAGAGATGGGCTGGCCAGGTCCAGCGCCAGGTCCATAGGCCCAGAGTGCTGAGTAAGCCCTCACAATCCTGCCATCCTCTCATTTGAGAAACAGGACACCTGGTATCAGGTTCTTCCCAGCTATCTGGGGCACGATCTGCAGGTGGGCAGACCGGATGCCTCCCAGCACCCAGGCAGGAGGCTGGGCCAGAGACAGAGCTGAACCTCAGCCCTGCACCCTAGAGCCTCTGCCTCCCACTTTCTCCAGGGGAAGGGCAGTGCCGAGAGCCGGTTCCTGTGGCCTGGAATGCGTGCTGCCCTGGAGGACAAGAGCGGCACCCACATCAGCTCTGAGGGCCCCTGACCGATCACATAAAGGAAGTGGGGGTGGCCAGCCCCCAAATGAAATAGGCAATGCCATTGGCTGTCAGGAGGTGGGGCTTCCAAGGTCTGGCTGGGCAAGCCAGCCTGGTGCCTTGAGTAGAGCAGGGCATGTGGCTCCGGCTTGGGTTCGAGCTGTCACTACGGAGATCTCAGAGTCCACGGCCGAGAAGGCAGAGAGTACTGCCCACCCTGCACCACAAAACCATTCCAAGGTTTAAATGCAGTCTGTGTGCCCGGACTGGGCACATGAACATAATAAGTACTTCACAAACTGTAGGTGTTACTGGTTCCCCATATTGCATATTAACTGCTTTCCACTAAATGAGGAAAGCACGGGGAAGATGCCATGGCTGTGGCCTATAGAAGGCTTCCAAGAGCTCACACTGAGAAGCCCGACAGCACCACTCTCATGAGTGCGTGTGTGACCCGACTCTGTGCTCTCTACTCATGCGTTTGTGTCCAGGTTTCCTCTTCTGTAATTAGAAACATCAGTCCCCTAGGCTGTCATTGGATTCAGTGGGACAGGAAAGCATAGGTCCTAAGCACAGGACCCAACAGAGTTATTAAATATTTAAGGACTGGAGAGTGATTGTGACCGAGAGGTGTAGCCATGTGACAGTGTAACACAGGTAAAGCGATGAGTGCAGCGCCCAGGCAACGCAAATGTTCGACAAGGGCATTTTCCTCCCCTTAGGCCCAGGTAGGTCCTTGTCACTTACCTGCACCCGCGTGGGGTTCAGCCAGTGAGGGATATCACGGATAGTCACGTTCGTGGGCAGGATAATGGGCTCGCTGTTGTGGTCCAGGCAGGAGGTGGCACACTCGGACCCTGTGGGAAGCAGAGTGTGAGCTGGCCACTTAGCCCCAGTCTCCTAATACCCAAGGCTGCACTCCCCAGAGCGGGCCCTCTGGCCCCCAGTGGACTGGGCTGCCCACTCTGAGGGCAGTGGGAGGGAGGGAACTCCCCAGCAGGGCTGCCCCTGGTCTCCCTGACTGTTCTCTCATCTCAGTTCAGCTGGCACCCACTGCCATTTTCATTGGCCCCAAGCCCAGTTTGGTCTTGTTCCTCCTTTGCTTGAAGACCTTTCCAAGGTTTCCCATATCCAGGGCAAGGTCCAACCCCCTTCCCCAGCCTTCATGGTCTCATCTCCCACTAACTACCTTCACACTTTGTTTAGTCCAACTGGCCTGCGCCTGGCTTTCCCTCTGAGCCCCACACGTCCTTGCCTCTGTCCTGCTCTCATTCTCTCCCCTTGAATCATCCCACCATCTGCATTCTCACAGTCAAGTCCTACTGGCTTCAAGGCCAAGGTCACATCCTCCAAGAAGCCTGCCCCATGTGTGTGCAGTGGAGGGAGCAGTATTCAGCAGTGAGGAGTCTCACTCCAGTGTTGGCCCTATCCCCTGTGTCTCCCTTCCACAGTTACAGAGATGCCCGGAAGGGCAGGGACAAGTTGGTTCATCCCTAAGCCTAACCTGCTGCCTGACACACAGGGATTGCTAATAAGCACCAGGCTTTTTCTTGGCACAGGACTTGCATTCATGCCTTCTACTCTTCTTCAAATGGTGCCTTACCAGGACCCTTCAGACCCCCAGCCTGCTTAGAGGAGACCTCTGTGCTTTTCTGACTGGCCAAACCCCCCTCACAGCACCCGCATTTGTCACTACCCCTTCCGGTTGGCTTGGGGACTTTTAACATCTGTCAGTATCTCTCTACCCTGTGGGACTGTAAGCTCCACAAGGTCTGCACACTGTGCATGGCAGATGGCGGGCACTTGATAAGGACTTAAAACATGAATGAAAGAGACGTTGAGGCAATGAGCGCATAGATGGAGAAGAAATGAGTAAGTGAATGAATGCATGACACAAGGAGTGAATGAGGAATAGGGGCTTAGGTATCTTATGAAGAAGGAAGTGAGTGTGTGAGTGGGTGCATGAATGAATAAATGACTGAATACATGGGAAGTAATACAAAGAACTAAAAATAATGAAGGCATGGATGACCAACGGGGACTGAAGCCTTCGGTCCAGGGATTTCTCCTTGAAGATGATTAGCTGTCTAGCTGTGGGATGGCATGCTGGCTCTAATTTGGCTCATTCATGCTCTGGCCTGACCTCACACATTCTGACGTCTCTTGAAAATCAATCCTATCCCAGGACATGTCCCCAGGCCTCCAAAACGGTGCTTCTCACGTGGGCAAAGAGTAGGGGTGAGGATCCGACCAGGGCCCTAAGGAGGCCTTTCCCCACCTGGGCGCCAAGACCACCCTGAACACCAGAACACCATGCATTCACAAGAGACAGATAATTCTTTAAAATATATAAATATATAAAAGTGTATAAAAATACATACATATATATATTATATATATATATAATTCTATTAGCCATTCTAAAGCCTCCCTTCCAAATGTGTGTGTATGTGTATACATACAGGGTTGGGCAAAAGTAGGTTTAAAGTTGTTCATATGGAAAATAATAAAATTGTATATATAAAAGGCTAATATGCAAAGTGTCCCGTCGGGAGTTTGATCGGGAGACTGGGAGTTCGATCACTCAATATGATGTGTGCTGACCACCAGGGGGCGGCGTGGAATGAAGGAAGGCCCTGGCTGGCAGCTCCGAATGGCCCTGATTGCCAGCCAGGCCTAGGGACCCTACCTGTGCATGGATGCTGTGCACCAGGCCTCTAGTTAATAGATGATAATACAAGAATAAACTGTGTTTCAAGTCCATCATGGCTCAGTGATTGTCAACCTATAAACCAGATGGTTACAGTTCGATTCCCGGTCAGGGCACATGCCTGGGTTGTGGGCTTGATCCCCAGTAGGGAGCATGCAGGAGGCAGCCAATCAATGATTTTCTCTCTTCATTGATGTTTCTCTCTCCCTCTCCCTTCCTCTCTGAAATCAATAATAAATATATTAAAAAACGAAACCCTACTTGTCCCACCCTGTACACATGCATACACACATACGTATGGACGTGTGTGCATAAACACACACTTCTCGTGCATGCCTAGTTTATCCCGTGAACTCCTGTTGCAGCTTCTCCTCCCTTCAGTGGAAGAGGCATGGGGGGTGAAGAAGAGGCGAGGGTGGGTGGCAGGGGAAGGACAGGTGAGAACCTCCTCACTTTACGCACCAGGATGCTGAGCCCAGAAGGGGGAGTGACCTGCCTTGCGGGTGCCTTTCAGAGGTTGCTCCTTCTGCACATCCAGCCCCTTATAGAGATGCCCTCACACCCCTTTCACAGGTGCCCAGAGCGCAGGTTACAGAGCTGGCGGTCCAGGACCATGAATGAGAACCGCTGTCTCTGACTTCCAAGCCCAGCGATGGAAATAATGGAGCCTCACAGAGGAAGAGGAAGGGAGGCAGTCGAAGGGGACAGAGGCGGGTGAAGGGCCAGAGGAGAAGAAAGCAATGGGGGGAATGCGGTCAAAGATGAGTGATGAGAATAAAGGGGACACTGGCTGGGCAGTGGGGGAAGCTCAGAGCTGGGTGGTTATCATGAGATCCATTCTGGAGTTTCTAGAGAGCAAGGACTACGCTAGGCTTCCAGGATAAAATGCTTCTCAATAAAAAAGGGGGGCAGCCTCTGAGACACAGACCAAAGCTGTCTTATCCCAAGAGGTGAGAAAGGAAAAATTCTGGTCAACACAGGAGGCAGTGACCACCCTGTGCTGCTGCCTGTCTTACTTCCTCTTCTCTGTGCTCTCTCCTCTGCGCTCCTCTCCCCCACTCCTGGGCAGCTCTGGACTTGGAGACCAGGCTGCTGTGTTGTGATATATGAGCCCTAATTGGCATCATCACAGAGCAGTGATCTCACCAGGCCCCTGCCTGCCTCTCCTTCCCCAAGGAGCAGGGAGGTGGCAGCTTTGGTGGCAGTAGCCATGAGAGCTCCTCACTGCCAGAGCCTCCCTGTCCTGCAGGGGGTAGGGGGAGGGCTGGCTCTGGGCGGCCCCAGATGTGCCCTCCAGCCCCCAAGTCCCACACAGACCTTACCCCTTTACAAGGCTTTTGATGAAGTCCCTCTCCTTAGAGAGGTGGGCTCTCCCCAGGGAGGGGCTCTACCTGGGATGGATGATGTCTGAGGGGCCTTCAGAGGTGAGGAGGGAGAGAGAGCTGGAGCCCAGGTGAGGAGGAAAAGGGAGCTGGTCCCCAGGAGGTGAGGAGAGAGAGGGAGCTGGTCCCCAGGAGGTGAGGATGGAGAGGGAGCTGGTCCCCAGGAGGTGAGGAGGGAGAGGGAGCTGGTCCCCAGGAGGTGAGGAGAGAGAGGGAGCTGGTCCCCAGGAGGAGGAGGGAGAGAGGGAGCTGGTCCCCAGGAGGTGAGGAGGGAGAGGAGCTGGTCCCCAGGAGGTGAGGAGGGAGAAGAGCTGGTCCCCAGGAGGTGAGGAGGGAGAGGAGCTGGTCTCCAGGAGGTGAGGAGGGAGAAGAGCTAGGTGTCCAGCAGGACCCTGCCCTCCCTCTTCCTTCTCACTCAGTGTCCCCTGTTTCTTCTCCTGGCCAGGCTCCCCTGTGTGCCCCCACCTCCCTGGGTGACCCACCCATTCATCAAGGGCATCTGCGTGGCAGTGGGAGCATGGGCTGCAAGGGAGGGAAGGAGATTCAGGTTCCAAGGTCAGACAGACTTCCTTCCCTTTCGGCTCTGATCATGAGGAAGCTCATGGGTGAAGGGATGCTGCTGCCACCTCCGCCCACTGTTAGACTGTGCTGAGGGCAGCAGAGCCAGGCCCTGTGGCTCATTTGCGTGTGGCTGTGATGTGGGAATGCAGCATATGCACAAGGTGGGCAGGAGATGTATCGGTGTGCATGGTGGTGTGAGCTCTGTTTGCCTTTTGTGCATCTTTCTGTATGTTTGATACGTTTGGGGCCTAAGAGGTGGTTGTGTCTATAATGTGTGTGTTCTGATATGTCACATGTGAGCTTGAGCTCCGTGTGCCTGTGTGGATGTGTTTGTGTGGGTGCTGTGTTCGTGTGGTATTTGGCTGATGTGTTCGTGCTGGGCATGCATTTACTGAAGGATGTGTGTGTGTTTGGGTCTACGTTTCATTCCCAAACATGTGTGCTTGTGTTTATTTATGCGTGTATGAATATATTTGAATGCGCCAGTGGGTGTAGACATAAAGTCTGTTTTTATAGGTGGTTTTTTTTTAAATAAAGTAACTCAATCAGTGTTTTGCTTACTGCCAGTCGTGAATGTGACTGAATGTTCACTGCATATCCTAAGTTGGGGGTAGGGACGCCATCACAGACGTAGTGTCCAGAGCTGTGCACATCCATCAGCAGTGACGGGAAGGAGCAGCCAACAGATTCGCTGTTGCTCACCTGTTGCCCCACATTCTAGAATGTCCACATTGGCAAGCCCTATGAGATCCCACCTCTCTGCAAACCTCGTGTCAAGGCACTTTGGACCATAGCTCTGTAGGATCTTAAAGTGCCTTCTGAATTGTCACAGAGGGCAACCGTGCAGGAGCAGGGCTGAATATAGGAAGGAGCGCTGGTTTCTCCTCTAGGTTTAGGTGCAGACTGCTGGGCTCGGAGGCTGCGTCCATCTCCAGCAGGGTGCCCTGCCCACCCCTGCTCTCAGGAAATGGTCACTCATCTTGCTGGGTGCAGAACAGGCTGGCTGCGTGCTGGGGAGATAGTGTGTGCACAGATAACCTTCTGCTCCAGACATGCCGGTGATTGTCCCATAAATCACACTGGCCACGAGAAAGGACATTCAATTCCCTGGGCTTTTCATCATGGTCAATTAGGGAATCCGCCCAAAAGGTCAGCATCACTGTCCTCGGCTGAGCTCCGGCTCCATGCACTCCCCGTTCCCCAGAAAGCCCCGGGACGGTGATTAATGTGTCTGTCCAGACTCCTGGTTCCCACCAGGCCAATGCCTGGCATCAAAGCCCAGGTTGCCTCCCTCGCTGAGAGCACTTTGCAAACTGGCCTATCACCTCGCAAATGGTATTTTGAAGCTGCTATTTGTTTATCCTCATTTCGGAGGCAACCGAGACACCATGGAAAGAACTCGGGCTTTGGAGCGGGTTCTGTTCTCCCTTTAAGACTCCATTTGCTCAGTTGTTGAAGGTTACTGAGAGGACAGAACATAACGCCTCTAAGTGCTGGCCCATGTAGACGCTCATGAGTGATTACTTATGCAAATGTTAAGATTAATAATAAAGGCAGCCACACTGAACCTCTATTGCCTTCTCATCTCCCTCCCCCTGCCACATGGTTCCTCTGTCTGCAGTATCATTTCGTGCCCAATGAGCTCTTTCAGAGCCCTGTGTAGGTGAGCCTGCTATACACACTCCCCACCACCACCACATCCCCGCCCCAAATCTCTCCAGGAGAAAGGAGCCTGGTTGCATCCAGCTCCCTTTCCCCAGGGCCTCCCACAGGGCCCCACAGAGCAGAGGCACCCAGCTACCCGGTGAGGCACCAGCCTGGGCTCTCCAGAGCTCTCGCCCCTCCCACGCTGCCCGCATGCGCCCGTCATACCTATGGCGTAGCCTTCAGGACACTGCAGTTTGAGGTTGCTGTTGAGCTGGTTCGGGGCCGAGCACTGGCCTTGCATCTCCTGGCAGAGGTGGAAGGAGCCGCTCCAGGTCCCGTCTTTCCGGCAGTGGATGACGTTGCTCCCCCGGCCCTGAGCACCACGGAAACACAGTCAGACCAAGACACTACCCTCAACCGCAGCTTCTCAAGGAAAAAAGGAAACCAGAGCACTTTGTTAACACTGGTGGCACCGATGGCATTGGCAATATCTCCACTGGTAATACCTCCATTCTACAGACGGGGAAACTGGAGGGCTCAGTGTGGGCCCTTTCTGCAAACCCCTTTCCATGTCTGAACTGGCCAAAGCTTCTCAGAGAGCCTAACTCCCAGGCTTCCTAATTCCTGGCTCAGTGTCCCCACAGAGATTTCAAGCAGAGAGATTTGTTTTGTTGGTTGTTTTTATTAACTGAGAAGGCAGGGGCCCCAGTGCACCCCAGCCCATACGATGAGGGAGAGCACAGGCCCGGGACTGTTTGTGAGGAGGCAGGGACACACCAGAGCTTGCTTCCTCTCAGGCAGTGAGAGAACATCCCATGCCAGGCCTCTGCCATTTGCTCGCGGCGCTGCCTGGGCCCAGCTGGGAAGCTTTCTC